AGGGGAGAAGGAGGAGGGGGGAAGAGGAGGAGGAGGAAGAGGGGGAGGAGGAGGGGGAGAGAGAAGGGGGAAGAGGGAGAGGAGTTATTAGAAGAAGAAGAATTAGAAGAAAGAAATTCCCCTCCTGCTTCTGGCAACTCTACGAAGAACTGTTCACACTAAGCGTTGAGAAACCTGGCGGGAAGGCCCGCCTGAAAGTGCTCAGACTCTGCCGAGCACGGGACTTAAATGTTCCCATCCGTGCATGAGAAAGAGCAAAGCTGTAGCCCCGCAGAGGAGCCCAGGGCCGACATTCAGAAATCTCCCTTAGCATTGCTCTCACTGTCTGCGCCGTCAGAACCCCAGGACAGAACCTCAGCCTTAACGTGTGTCCGTATCAGGGCTGTGTGTTAATATCATTTCCTTCGGCCTGCCTCTTGCCACCCTGGGCTTGTTCTTCGGTAGCTCAGGTGTTCTTCCTGGGCCTCTCTGCCCTCCCGCTCCACCCCAGGGAAGGACAGAGGGCTCAGCCCTCCGAAACTCTAGATCCTTTACGTCGCTAAAGGGGCAGTGTCTGGGCTTTGAGTTGCTTGTAACACTTCTCTGTGAATTCTTCCCTTTTTGTTTCGTTTTGTTTTTACCCTGAGTTGGAAAGATTCTGAATTGAATCCTGAAAGCCGGAGTGAAATATGAAGCCCTGATTCCTTTCTGCAGGGCTAGAACAGAATCAGAAAGACCCCAGAACGAATCTAAGGCAGCAGGCTGAGTTTGCCTACAGCCCAACACGTGCCTGACTACGTTCATTCTCTTGTTCCTTTGCCTCCGTACAGGCGGCATGGCCAGGGAGCGACCCCAGGGTGCTGCGGCTGCAAGAGTTGTTTGGGGAACAGGGAACATTAGAAGGAAGTGCAAACAGAAACCTTTCAGATCCAATCATCTGGGGGACATTACTTCTTCCGAGGCATGTTTTCAGCCCCGTGGATTGCATGGCGCCTCGTACGTATTTCGGCAAAACAGCAAATGAGCCATCCAAGCATCAGCTGCCAGCCTTTCACATTTAATCATTCAAAACTCAACCTGGATCCACAATAGACACGAGAATGCAAGACTCTGAGAAAACTCTAGGGAAAAACAATCGCCTTGCCACAAAAAACAACGTGGAAACAAGAAACTCCCTCTGTGCCCTGCTGGGACATTTTCACCTGGAGAACCGTCACTCTAAATTCTCACCTTGCAGAGAGGGACCCAATGGGACACGTGTAGTAAATATTCACTGAGTTCTGCCACGTGTCGACAGTCTTCTAAGGAGATGACTTCTAATTAATTAGAAAAGTGCCTGCCCTCGAGGCGCATACATTCTGTGAGTGAGACAGTTAGACAAATAGACACAGATGTGACTGGCCACCACAGTGCAAGGATTTTGTCTGCACGTTCATTGCTGCGTCCCCATGTTTGGAAGACTACCCTGCACGCTCACCTGGCAGGGGAGACACCATGATCATGAAGGTGGTTTTCCCAGGGTTAGGTCCATGCATTGAATTCCAGGTGCACTGACACACGCAATTTCCCCAGATGCGGGAAACCAGACTGCATAATCGGTGGGGATTGTGTTTGCACTTTTCCCTGTGGCTTTTATTTTTCCTAATATTAAAAAAAGAAGAAGAGGCTGGGCAAGGTGTTTCACACCTGTAATCCCAGCACTTTAGGAGGCCAAGGCGGGTGGATCACCTGAGGTCGGGAGTTTGAGACCAGCCTGGCCAACTTGGTGAAACCTCATCCCTACTAAAAATACAGACATTAGCCAGGCGTGGTGGTGCGCACCTGTAATCCCAGCTACTCGGGAGGCTGCGGCAGGAGCATCGCTTGAACCTGGGAGGCAGAGGTTGTGTGAGCTGAGAGGGCGTCACTGCACTCCAGCCTGGACAACAAGAGCAAAACTCCATCTTAAGAAAAAGAAGAGTCCCCTGCACATAGCGGGCCCTCAGTGAATTATGAAGCAGACTGAGTCTATATCACAGCATATGTCAGGTGGTAACAATGATGTCCATGCTGAGAAGAGTCTTCCTAAGCACAAAATATAAAAGCCCTACAGGCGCTGAGTGTGAATAGCCTTGACCCTGAAGGAGGACCACATTTTACAGCCCTCAAAATAATCCCACGCTCACCCTTTGCACACCTCTCAATCAAGCCCACAGACCTTGCATCCATGCACACACGCACACAAACACACACACACACACCCCACATACACAGGTACACACGTCTCTGCCCATGGACCACACACACACACACACACACCCCGCATGCACAGACACACACATCCCTGCCCATGGAACACACACACACACACACACACACACCACAGACACAGGCACAAACATCCCTGCCCATGGACCCCACAGACACACACACACACACACCCCACACATGCACAAGCACACGTGTCCCTGACTTGAGTCAAGCACATTCTCATCTCATCTACAACAGAACCTGCTGTCCACACGCATTTTCTGCAGGGCCACGCCTTGGGCCTCATTTCACACCCAGAGTAGGTCGTTTTTAACCCCCTCCCCACACGACAAAATGATTTTTGGTAATTGTGGTGGGCTGAATAATGAGCCCCAAAACATCCAGGTCCTAATCCCTAGAACCTTTCAATGTGACCTTATATGGGAAGAAGGACTTTGCAAATGTGATTAAATTAAGCATCTTGAGATGGGGAGATTATCCTGGTTTATCTGGTGGGCGCTAAGAGTCATCAAACGGATCCTAATCAGAGGGAGACAGAGGGATACTTGAGAGCAGAGGAGACTGTGTAACCACGGAGGCAGAGACTGGAGTGAAGCGCTCTGAGGATGGGGGAAGGGGCCCCGAGCTAAGGAATGCAGGCTCAAAACCAGCACAGACTCCACGTAAGTCCCCAGGGCAGCCTCTGCAAGCTGGAAAAGACAAGGCAAGGAATGCCTGCTAGAGCCTCCAGAGGGCGGCATGCCAACACCCAGGTTTGGGGCTGATGAAACCCATTTAAGACTTCTGGCCTCCAGAACTGTAAGATAAGACATTTATGCTGTGGCCAAGGCAGGAGGAACACTTGAGGCCAGGAGTTCAAGACCAGCCTGGGCAACATGGCAAGACCCCAAGTCTACAAAAAATTTAAAAGTTACCCAGGCATGCTGGTGTATGCCTGTAGTCCCAGCTACTTGGGAGGCTGAGGCTGGAGGATCGCTTGAGCCCATGAGTTTGAGGCTGCAGTGAGCCAAGATCTTACCCTTGCACTCCAGCCTGGGCCACAGAGCAAGACCTTGTCTTAAATACAATTTCTGTTGCTTGAAGCCAAGTTTGTGGTACAATTTGTTACAGCAGCCTTAGAAGACTAATACAGTAATAAAGTAATAGACATTCTTTTCTTGATTTATGATTTAACACTGTTTTAACAAAAGAATAAATTTTCATGTTAAAAAATTATTCAAATTCAGTAAAATATTTCATGTATGAACTAAAACTTTTATTTACCAAACACAAACACTTCTCCTTGCAGTTCATACTGTTTCACTTCTTTGCTTGTTTGAGACGGAGTTTTTTTTTTTTTTTTTTTTTTTT